AAATAAACAATAAATTGTAATTGTATATATTTTAAATATTTATATTTTGTTTTTATTTATTTCTATAATATTTTATATTATTATACATTATTTAAATAAAAAATAATATATATATATATATATAAGTTAATAAATAAGGCTCGCGAGCCAGCTCATAAGCTCACGAACAACTAAAAACTAGCTCGAACTCGGCTCGTCAGAAAGCTCGAGCTCGAGCTCAATAAAACTCAAGTCCGAGTTCGAGCTTTTTTCGAGCCGGCTCATCGAGCTCACGAATCGGCTCGACTCGTTTACCACCCCTATTGCAAACAACACCTAATTATGTAGAATAATCTGAGAAGTGCTTTTAAGAAGCATTTCCACGCACAACGTGCGAGAAAAATGCATCTAATATGTACTGGACACTCCCAAAAAGAACAAATAATTAACCAGCCAATTTACAATATTGAAAATTCAGGCAGGTCTCATTGATGGTATTGGAACTTTTAAAAAGAAAACGAAACAAAAAGTTAAGAAGTAAAAGATCCTCAAAGAAATGATTTTCGATACAAAATATAGCCATTTTAAACAAATTACGAAAGATGATTAGAAGTTTGAACGATAACTTTGCTGCTATTAACGGCTGTTTCAGATGCATACAGCATGATTAAGATCAACGGCCACTGCAAACTTTGCATATACGAAAAAGACTGCTTCAATTAGCACGAAAATAACAAGGACTAAAAATGCCAAATATCTTTTTACTCGGTACTCACAATCAATTCCGGTTAGGTACGAACCCTATAGTATACGATGATCTCTCCATCAGTTACACAAATGTATCAAAAAATAGAGATGATTGAAGCCGTATCTAACGGCCCCTACCACGTCCACGCCCACGACCGCGGCCCCTACCACGCCCCAAGGCTCTCCCTGAATAAGCCAAAATGCAGCATTAGATATAACTGTAGCATATCATATCATATAGAACCGTAGAGAAAAAGCAAAGTGCGATAATTTTCCGTACCAGCAATTGGCTTCTTGGGCTTGACTCTAGGTGTCTCTTCCACCAACAATGTCTCGAGGTTTAAACTGTCGGGAAGGATGTAATAACGAATATTGTTACCCCTTACACTAAGGTGATCCATGCTCACTGGATTTTTGCCCTTCAGAGTAAGCTTTACAGCCTTCAAATGAGTGTTCATGCTAATATCAACACCTATTAACGAACAAAAAGCCAGTGAGGAATTGCAGTTCAAATGGCTACATAACACATATTTTAACTTAATAACGAGCTGGAAAGTGCAACTATCTTATGTGACACAGTTCTTGTTTGTTCATCAAATCACGTGTTAGTGATACGCGTGTGAAAACAATAAAATTTTGAGTAAAACAAGGGTTGCAATTACTTTTAATGGATTTTATTTTACATCTTCTTTTTTACAACGGGTAAAATTGCTTTCAAGGCTAAGGTGGCGGAAAGAAAGAGTCGCATGAAGGTTGATGGATTCAAATTTTGGCATGATTGATGTTTGGATCTCGATAATGCACAGTGGAAGTAAGCTTAGTCGTTTTTACCTTGTGTTTCCAAAATGTTTGTTCACATCCAAATACACTTTTCTCTACCCAACCATGGAACATAAAATATTAGGGTAAACCAAATGAGTTGCCCGACCCCCTGTTTACCAATTATTCAAGTTAACAGTGCACATACCACGTTTTCTAAATGACAAAGTACTCGGAACGTATAGCTATGTAGAGTGTCTGAACAAAGGTAAAGTGAATGTAATTACTCAAAAATTATTTATGCATATTGGCACTGATGGAGAGATCATCGTATAATACCTATGAACACAAATTCAAAAGAATTTGGGTGAAAATTCATATTTTCACACAATTTTCACACAAATAAAAATATTTATATTCATATATTATAAATATATTTACCCGAATTACCCAAAAATATAAGTATAATTTGGGTGAAAATTTGAATGTGAATAAAATCAAAAGAAGTTATCTATCCTTATTAGATCTCTAAGTGTAATATTCATAGGTAGAACAGCATTATGGCAGCCAATATTTGTGTTACAGAATGCAAGTGTAAAACAAAAACGAAGAGACTATTGAATAGGTGCTCCGACAAGTATTCAACGATAGGTTACTTGGTTAAACTTCCAAAAAAAAATCAGTGACTCAAGCTACATTAGAAGGCTTGGATCGGGCGACAAGGGGTAGCAAAAATGAATACAATAATAAACCGCACGGCTTCAATAATAATCAGAAAGTCTAAGATTCAGCATTCGATAAAAGATTCATCATAAACATAAGATTTTTAGGTCACAAACTCTTCCTAAGGGAACGAGAATATACTGACGAACAAAACTCGGTGGGGTTACAATTTGAGAAACTTATCCCTTTTTTGTGCAATTTACATATGAACTAATGTTATGACACTATCCCGTCACTTTCCGCGAACACCAAACACATACAAACATGTGTTTGTATTTATTCCAATTCCGATAAAATGCCAATTTTTCATTAGCACTAAATTAATTGCAAAACTGAAACAGCTTGAAATCGAGTGAGCTGACAGAAGGTCATTAAATCGTAAATCGGCTTCACCCATGGTATGAATGTGTGCTCAAAGTATATGTAGCCTTTTTTTTTTACCTTAATTAATTGTTGCTATATTTCTATATTGTGTGCATCATACTTATGAAGCTGCCATATTTCGTCATCTAAGAACACATTTCATCCAAATAACTATGAATCAATTGAAAAAAAAAACAAAAATAAAAGATGGATGGACAAAGAAAAGAACCTATAATTGTGCCTTGAACAACAGTGCCATTCTTGAGCTCAATCGACACGCTCTCGTTGATCAATTTCATCAAAAACCTGAAAAAAATGAGATGCAATTTCATCACAAAAAATCATCGGTAGCGAACTGAAGTTTATTCTCAGAGAATATCAATTGCAGGTAGAGAAGAAACACAAAACCTGACGAGCTTCATTGTTTACAGTTGAAAGACGACGACGAAGCTAGGGTTCCGTCGAAGCAACAAAGAATGCTGAAGGAGGAGGGTGGGGGGTTTTTACAGCTTTCCGCTTTCGTCTGTAGCGAGCGCCAATTTATAAATTCTGACGAGTGATACGGCGTCGTTGGCTGACTGAGAGTTTGGGCCTCTCTTTGTAGGCCAACTGGGCCGGGCCTCATCTCTATTTTCATTTCGGCCCGCAGCTATTCGAAATACTCGTTTCACTAACTGAAAGGAAGACCATAAACAAAACACCATTTTACTAAAATGAAAACTATAAGGGCCTTTTTGGTTTGGGGTATTACAAGGGATGGGATTTGTTGTACCATTGTGTACAATGTTTGGTTCAGTTGACGAACCCATCCTTGATTGATGGGCCCACCGTTTTAATCCCCCATTTGAATTATTAGTAGTCAAGCCAAAATTGGCTTGACTAATTATCAGGTATTGCATCCCTTTTAGCTGGCCGTGTGAAATGTCGAAAATAGCCTTAGAAAACACATCAATTACAAAATTAATAGGTATAAATAGTACATTCTTCATCCTCTTCTCTCTTCCACCGTGCCCTAGTTTTTTGCAGGTAAAATCTCCTGCGGTTCGAGTTATCAATGAGCACAATCGACGCCGCCGATCGCTGCCGTCTTCATCATCACGACCAGACCCTCAACGCCGCCAATCGCTGCCGCCTTCATCACCACCACCAAACCCTCGACGCCGCCAATTGATGCCGCCTTCATCACCACCAGACCCTCAACACTGTCAACCACCACCAGCAACCTCTCCACCGCCGCAAAAAACCTCACAATCGTTCATCTACTTGAGAAGTCATGAGCCCAACACCATTCTCCACCACCTAATTAGATATGAGTTTATTCTCGTCTCCAATTGCCCAACTTGGTCTTGATAGATTTCCACTCTTGCCAGCAATCTGGTGGAGAATTTCTCCATTATTAATTCACAATTTATTTTTTCTTTTTCCTTTTCTTTTTTTTTTTTAATATTTTTATTTCTTTATTTAATTATTTATTTTTATTTTTAATGTGTGAAAGTTTTCTGTTTTTCTTTTTAATGGAAATCTGTGATAATTATAACGACGAACATATTTGTTCATCGCCGTTTGTTTGTTATTTTCGTTTTCCTTGATATTTTTCAGACCGTTTTCTTTAGGAACCAAACAAAACTATGGAAAATGATATTCCAAAAATTATTTTCATCACCATTTTTCCTAGGAACCAAACACAATTGAGATTTCAAAAGTCCTTGATTTCCTTTTCCTTTGCATTTTCACTTTCCTTATTTTGAAATCTATGAACCAATCCGAGCCTTAATGTGACGGGATCGATTGGCAGTGGTGCAGCTGCTTTTGTTTGACCGATACTAGTTGGTCTCACAGCTTCGGCAATTACTTCACCTTCAGCTTTGAGAGACTCCAAAAATTGGTTGGCCCTTTGTGTTTTACCTAGCTACATACCAAGACCCTTTGATGGAGCTGAAGCAGATGCTGGTGCACGACCTAATCATGGAGATCCAGAAGGAAAGAGATAAGGAAACACACACATTGCAATTTAAATATTTACTATCGATACTTCACGTTTAGTTCCGAATTCAAAGAAAGATTCAGAAACAAAGAGTAACCTTTGGACTTAGAAGAGAAAGATTCCACTTCAGTATTCACTCCAAAGCCAGAACCACCTCCAAAACCACCACCACTACTAGATATGTTGTTCTCACTGCCAAAGCCACTCTCGATTCTTGAACTCATTGACTGCAGCGACATAAATCCTCCCTTCTCACCTCTATTCTTCTCAATCTGGATGAATTTCAAACAGTTAGTCAATATATGTATCAAAAGGGGCAAACCAGTAATTTACCTAACAAATTCATAGAAAACTGTGTTATCATCCAAACCAAACATGATATTATTAATGCAGGTATTATTAGTTTCTCCCCCATAACTCAAACCAAATAATGGATTACTCACTGCGAATCAACAATTTAGTCAAGTGTACCATATCCCAT